TTATTTATAAATTTGATTTTTTGGATGATGTATATTATTTTTAATTGATTAAAATTAATTTTTTTTAAACTATTTTCAATTAAGATGAACATAAATTATTTAAATTTTAAATTTGAGTAAGATAGTAAAACGCATAATGCATGTGTTTCCCTCACTAGAGATGCATGAATTATCCAAGTTGACTAATTATTTTTGTAGAATGTATTTATAAATATATACTTTATTAATCCAAATTATAAGAGTAATTAATAAGCAATAACAAATACATATTGAGAATAAACAATATGCAGACTCCAAATCTCGATTATAAATAAAAATTTATATATATATTTGATTAATTAATCTATTTCTTAACACTTTTGAGCTGTCACATACCTAAACTACTAAATTAAACAAGTATGTATATATATATATATATATATACATGAGACTAACACTTTAAGTACAAAGTGTTCTTGCTATTTTTTATTGTATGAAATTACTAATATTATTTATAGTTGCATAAATATTGATTTTATCAAATCCATTTATAATATATCAATTTTAAAGAAAAATAAAAATAAAAAACAATACATGCACTTGCATGTGCCAAACATATTTGTAAGTAAATAATTTTGGCTCAATAAATAAGTTCTCAATAAAATTTCGATTATAATATTAAAATATAAAAATTAATTTTATAAAAAAAATATTTTGTATATTATTAAATAATATAAAAATATATATTATTATAAATAAATTACCGCACATATATAAAATAATTATATATTTATGAAGTGAGTAATAATTATCTAAATTTAATTTAATAATTATCAATTTTTACATTAATTAATAAAATATATAAAGGGATTCTTAATTAATTATTATTAAAATAAATGCAAAAAATGAGAAAAATGTTCGAGTGAAGAAATTGACGTGCACGTGGAGTAAGTGGGTAATTATAAGAAAAGAATTTTAAAAAGAAAATTGGAGGGCCCACATTAATATATAGGGAATTGTAAAACGATTTTCGATGGTGTCGCCATCAACTGCGCAAGTTTAGATTACTTTCGTCGGATCTACCAAACACTCTTTTAAATTTTCTCTTCATATGCAGAAAATATATAAATAACAAACATATTTAATTTAAATTTAATATTATTTTTATTCAAATTTTATTACATTTATAATTTTCAATTTACATAAATGTAAAAAATACATATCAAAATCAAAATATATAAATTTTCTGTGCATCAGTGCACAGTAGAAGGACACGTGTACAGTGGGCCCCATCTTGTCATTCGTAATATACAAAAAATTTGTCGTACTTGAAGCTCGTCTTTGAGGGCAAGAAAAAACATTTGTCCTGCTCCACTTTTATAATTCACACACAGAAAATTAATTATAAATAAAATAAAAACATATATAAATATGAAACAGAGGGCCATCATTCTGCTGCGGATGAAATCAGATTGTACTTTCGCTTCCTTTGCAGAGACGAATAAAAGGGAAATTATCCGCGGTGTACAATCCCCACTCCTCTCTGACCCTTTTAACCAATCATCACTACACTTGCTTCTTGCGCCACCATTTTCGTTTCTTTCTTTTCCTGGATTTTCTTTTTGGTTATGTTTTGATTTTTGGAGTTGTTGTTGATTCATTTTTTTTTTTTTTGGTTAAATATTATTCGACCAGTGTTTGTTTTCTATAATTGTTGGTTTCTTCTTGGCTGTCATGATGGCGATGGTATGGTTTGCTTTTGGTTCACGGGATTTGAGGGTTTCTTTTCTCTGTATTCCTTTCCGTGCGTGAATCTCTCCCCGCTTTTCCTTTTCTGGGCTTTGCTCAGCCTTCAGATTCCTTTTATCATAACTCAATTTGGGTGCTTGTTGGATTCAATTCCAATTTTAAAAGGTGAGCTCCTTGCAATTCCTTCTCATGCTCTGTTTTCTTTTCAGTCTCTGTTTTTAGTTCTTCTTTCTCGTAGCTCTTTGTACTATTTGTTGGTTCCTTCAATGTATCTGGGCTTAGAAGGAATCAGCTTTAATGGTTTTTTATATAATACGTAAAGGGTTTAATGGGTACCACGATTTTCTACCGTATTCGGTTGAATTGCCATCTAGGTTAGATTGTCCTTTTTCCTTTCATTACCTTATATATATAGTTTTATAATTTGTTTTAAGCTCCATGCTTAAATCTTACTAGTATACTTTCTGCCAGACGCGAAGCTTGTGAAGTAAACGACCCTGTAACTTCCGTACTTTTATCTTGTTTGACTTTGATTCTGATGAGAATTTCTCTTCTTGCATGCAGATTAACTCAGGGATAACGAATCTTTAGATCGAATGTGCTGCTTGTTTTGATAGTCTCCTATCTGGTATAGATTTAGTTAAGAAGGAGCGTCATATTTCCTAGCTCAGGGTAGTTATAGTTCAGGTATCTGCTAATTTCCTTCTTGAATCAGATTCCCTTTGAATTTTCCTGCAAAGATGGTGGATACAAGAGAAGAATAAATTTTCTGGTTGTGAATCTCAAATGGAATTCGCCTCAAATTTTAAGTACTCGCGATTCTTTGGCTGCTTCTTGAAGTCTGTAACATGCAAATGTCTTGGTTTGGTTTTTGCTGCTCTGGTTTTTAGAACAGTATTACTTGCTTCATTTTCTGGGTTCAGTGGAACAGAATGGAGCGGCATTGGAATAATTCATAGCAATTCTCTGTGGTCGAATTCTGATGATGGGGTTCGGATAGATAAATTTTTGGAGGTTCCACAAATCGTGTGGGGACTAAACAATCAGAAAATAGCTTTTGCAAGAGCATGTCTGACAGCAAGAATGCTGAACAGAACCCTTTTGATGCCAAGCCTAAGTGCTTCACTGTTTTATAAGGAAGTTGAGCGATTGCAGCCCATTTCTTTCGACAAGGTTTTTCAGTTTGAAAGGTTTAACTCCCTT